TATGAGATGAATGACGAACTGAAAGCTTTGCATCAAAAAATGAACAGCATGGGTGATGTAAAGACTTTTCAAATACTGGTTTTACTTCTTAGGTTACGGCAAATATGCTGTCATCCATCACTTATTGAGAGTGTAAGTATATACTGTTATTGAGGTGTTTGCTGCCTCCATCATCAGGGTGATGAACCCAGAAGACAGTCATCTTCAAATGTAACCATCACTCCAAAATGTTTGATGCCAGACATAGTTTAAAAATGGATGGCAGTAATTCGAAATGATGACACTAGCAATGAAAAGTGAAAACAAATACATTCTAGACCAGTGGTATTCAACCTTTTTTTGTTCGAGTACCCCCAGATATAATTTCTCTTCAACTTTGTACCCCCAAAGTTGTTGGTGTATAATTCAAGTTATACATATTATATAATCTACATCTAAAATAAATTAAATAAATTACATTACTGATTATTCAGTGTTTATCATAAAATAATATATGTATTTTTTTATATTTCACATACCCCCTAAGATGTCTTCGCGTACCCCAGGTTGAATACCACTGTTCTAGACTAATATGTGCTAAAGATCTGATCATTCCTAAATAACTCTATAAGTTTCAAGAATTATGTTTTATTGGCATTGTGATCAGTTTGTAACATTTTAATAAACATATATCTGCTGTGTTATTTAATTACAGTATGAACTTGGGTAAATTGGTCAGTGGATTATTATATTGAAAAGACAGTGTGGTTTATTATGTTATTTAAATGATCTTGTTGCAGATGCTAGACAAAGAAAGTTGTGAAAATGATGGAATAGAAGATGAAACTGGAATGGATGTTGACCTTCTTTCACAACTTAGCAGAATGGGTCTTGATGACAAGATTGAAACTAAATCAGTGGATGCTGATGGTTTGGTTAAGAAAAAAGTTCTAGCACAAAACAATCCTGTTTTTAAGAAAGATAGGATCAGTTCTAAAGTAAGTATGTAAAATGGATGTGAAATAAAGGGTACTGATGTTTATATTCTGGATTGTGTTGCTTTATGGTCTTGTAGGTAGATACTAACATTGTTGTGAAACATACTGCCTCTAAATTCAGGGTTGCAGTTCAGCAGTTCTTGAATTGTTATATGAAGACCTTTGATTTCTTAGATTTAAGATTCTTGCAGTTGGGAAGACATTGATGTTGGTGTTATGAGTTGTAATGCCACATGAAGTTGTAGGTACATCAACATTTTCAGAAACATACTTTCTGCATCTTCAGGACTGGAGTGCAGCCTCAGATCATACTGATCAAGAATACTTTGTAATGTTTATACAAATATCATCTTCCTGTGGCCTTCTCCTTGCCAAAACCTAGATTGTGGGACTGTGAATATCAAGGTTCAAAGCCCATGTTAAACTGTAGGAATCCTCTGATGGCTGCCCTTCTTGTTATCATCCCATAGTAACAGAATCTGGCTTCCACCTCAGAAGTAATTTTCTTCACATCGCCTGGTATGTAAAGGGCAGAAATGTCAGTAGAGACTAGTTGAAGGTGTGTGTAGTAATTGTCTAAGAGGTATTTACTGGCTGTTGTTCTGCCTGCATCATTTTCCTGATTATGAAGGCAGCAAGCACTTCAGAAATGTCAGTAGACTTCTACCAGACAGCATGACGCAACAGCCCAAAAAGCCTTCTTTGTACTTGCCGTTGTGAGAACCTGAAAACCTAGTTATAACATGCTGTACAGTAGGGCACCGCTTATACAGCGGGTTAGGGACCAGCTGTAAAGCGAAAA